ACTTAAGGACAAACCTAAAGACAAACATAAGGACAAACCTAGGGACAAAACTAGAGAAAAACAAAGGTTCAAAGCTAAATCCGAAGAACTCAGAAAAGAATTGCTAGCCAAATACGAATACGATGCTGATTCTTCTCATCCGGAAGATCCCTTTTTTCCTTCGCAAGCATCCCGTGTTAGAAATTCTAGAGTTGGGCGACCTCCGAAATCTCAAGGCACTGATAAAAAGTTCACGCCTATAACCTATCAAAAGTATCCGACAAATTATGATGATTCTGATAATTTTACACCCTACACATCCAGTGTTCCGCAGTCCCCGTATTCAATGACATCGGGATATCCAATTACTTCCACACCGTTGACTGATAATGTGCAAAATACTGGGGTATCTCATCAATATGGATTTGTAACGTCACCTCAAGAAACACCCATGCCTTCTATTCATTCTATTCCTTCACAGTACTTGGCTCAACCATTTTATCAGGTAGATTCAGAGTCCACTGTTCCCACAACTTCCATAGCGACTGCAACGTCTACAGTGCAGCAGCCAATAGTCCCGTCTATGTCGAAACCTAAATCTGGAGCAGTGTTGGAAATACCTCCTGAGACTGCGGAATATTTTGCTCGCGATCAAATGGGCAACGTTTTGTGGTTTGCCTCTCCGCCAATTGACGTAGTGCAGGTACCAGAACCAATGCATTCAATTGAATATTTGTGTCGTCGAAAAGAATTGCTAGAGCGTGATAGAAAACGGAAATTACAAGAAGCTTTCGATTATGAAGATTATTCAAATCCTCGATTTGAGACACCCCCACGATTGATAGAACTCGATTTGCTGAGTGATATTGAAGAATTAGGCAATAAGTGGAAGAATGATGCTACTTTTCTCAACCGACAACTTGATGAAATTGATGAAACATTATATGGTGATTCATAAGTTTATCAATTGACGATCTATTTTTTGTAAAAAAAAAAAAAAAAATTATAATTGTTGTAATGATTTGTATTTTATTTCTTTTCAATTTGTCATTAGTGGGTTTTTTTTTTTTTTTTTTTTTTTTTTTGAAACGTTTTAAATAAAACAAAATGAAAATTTTATTTTGTTGATTGTGCATGTTATAAGTTATCCAAGATTTCATCAATTGATATTTTCCTAAAACGACATATATCAACTTCGATCAATATTAAGAAAATAGAATGAATAAGACCATTTAGACCGTTACATATGATTATGTATAAAATAAGATTAAATATGGTACTGTAAGTATAAATAATTTTATTTATTTTCTAACTGGTTTTAGATCTTTTGGATGAACCTTCAGAATATGTAGCACTTCTTTTTTGTAATAATCCTTGTTTTCTAAAATATTCTCTTCGCTCTTTCTTATCTTTTTCGGCTAATATAGTTTCTCGTTTGGCCATTTTCTTGGCGTATTCGTGATGTTTTTTGGCTTGTTTTTCCTTTCGCTTTTTATCCTTTTCTTTCTTTAAGGTATTAATTTGTTGCATGAGTGTATACATTTTCTTTTCTTTTGGTTCTAATACAACAGCTCGTTTTTGTAAATATGATTGTTTGGTTCTCTTTTTAAGTATTTTTGGTTTACTTGCAAAAGGTAAATTTGCTTGTAAAGATAATGGAATATGTAATGGATTGAAACGACGAGCTTTCCGTTCGATTTTCTATTATAAGTTATTAAATTATTATACTTTAATATCAAAAAAATAAAATAAAATAAAATAAATATTTAGAACAAATTGATTATAAAAAACCTTATACTGAGAATCTGGATTTATTGGTGGGGTAAGATCCAATTCTTTGCGGATTTGACCCGTTAGGCGCATTCCTTGCCATTCTTTCTTGAATGATAATAACAATGATGTAACAGGATTGTAGAATTTCTTTGGGATGATCGGATACCAAGCTCGTAAAAATATAATATCTGAAACATTAAAATAAAGTATAAATACAATCACTTTAAACTTTAAGTCAAATTCAAGGAATTTATGTTTCATACCACTCATCAACACTTTATCTTCAAAAGTAGCGCGAAAGTGACCTTCAGGTTTCTATACAGAATCAAAGTTAACTTGATGATAAAAAATAGAGATAAATATTGAGAAATTTATTTACCGTTATCGGTTTTTTCACTTGACCACGAATTCCTGATACAGTTCGAATCGCAGCTCCTTCAAATTTTGCCACTTCTAATGCAGAAGTAAACATATCTTTGACGAAAGCTGTATTCTTAAAGATCTTGTAAGGAACACCGGTCAATTTCAATTTTTTAACAATCTCAACCGAATGATTAATATCAAGTACAACTCCGGTGGCGCTTATCCTAAATGTAGCCTACAAATATAAATAATATACAAAACTTGTGATCAAAATTATAATAAAAATACAATTCATATTTCTGTTATTTTGACTTACTGTATTATCATTAGAAACGGATTGCACTGCGCAAAAACTAGTATTAGGCGGATGAATTGGTCCTTTAAATACAAAGTTTAAATATTATTAGGAATAGAAAGAAGTGATGAATTTGGTCATGATCAACAAATAAATACCGTAAAATGTGGCTAGACAATGCATATGTTCTGGGGTGTACTTGAGCATCCTGTTTCTTGTCCCATCATTCAAAGTATAAATAGGTATTGATTGGAACCGTCTCCAACCAAGTGAGAATATAAGGGGATCTTTGGTCTTTAAGATCTTTTTGTGCCATCGATGTCGTTTTATACGAACCTGTAATAATAAATTTTATTAGTTTATCAATGTAAATGCAGTATTCCACGTATAAATTGTTTGTTAACCTGTATAAAGCCTAAATTTTCTTCAGTTGTTAATAGACCTCCAACTATGATAGGGTATGCCGGATCAAAATACTTCACAAATTCGCATGGCATTCTCTTGAGTAATATTCGGACATAAGTACCAGGTCGAAATCCTTCAACCATAGCTCTTGTATGAGAATCATCGTCTTCAAACTCTTCACGATTAAGTTGTAATTGCTTAGCAATTCCCTCTTTGATCTCATCATAAAAGTCTACCTTGGGAGAACCATCTTTTTCATCATATTCCGCATCAAATTTTTTTTTTAACAAAGCTCTTTTTTGCGCAAGAGCTTCTTGCTCAATTTCATTTTCGGATTTTTTGGATCCTTCAACTTTGACCACTTCACCAGTTTCAAGATCCTCATAGTCTCCATGAACTTCATTATCTGAACTGTCATTTTCTCCCGCAGAAGAATCATCATCGAGACTGCCTGTAATGAACCTATTTCTAATAGATTCTAAAGTCTAGGGAAAAAAAAAAAAATTTCTAAATCAGAATGTTACCTAAACAACGGCACAAATAACCATGATGATACTAACTATTTCGTCGTCCCATTTATCGAGATTACTTGTATCTAAATATGCTTTGGTGGAATCAAGAGTATTCACAGAATCAGAATCTTTCTCTTGAGACTTTATAATCTTGAAAAATTCCTCATCATCTTTCTCCTCTTCTACATTGTCTTTCTCATTGGAGGCTGCTTCAACTTTTAATAATTCAGAAATTTCTCCTGATGCAATTTCTTCTGGCGTTTTGTCGTTACTATAAATCAACTGCATAATATTAATTCGACGATTAGTGTAAAACAGCTTTTTTGCTTTTTCGGTCAAGTTTGATTTCCATTTTAATGTCCCATCAAGATCTGGGTCAAGATCTGGGTCATCATCTTCGTTTTGACCTAGAATATCTTCCATATCGCTGTCGCTTTCGGCATATGCAATCTCCTCGTCGTTAATATCCTTTTCTGGATTCTTCATCTTAGATTTATTGAAAGCAAAACTTCTACTAGCAACTTTTTCCCACTCATCCCCTTCGTCACCATCTTCTTCGTCATCCTCTTCATTGTTGTCATCTTCGTAATCGTTATCATTCTTCTCCTCATCGTCGTTATCATCCTCCCCTTCGTAGTCCTCCTCTTCCTCCTCCTCCTCTTCGTAGTCGTCATCATCCTCCTCATCATAATCATCATCATCGTAGTAGATATCTTCATAGTTATCATCTTCAAATTCGGGATTTTCATTATCATCTGAATCCGTGTCTTCCATTTCATCTTGTTCGCCACCATCATATTTT